TACACATTATAGTATAGTAAATAAATGCGCTATGTAAAAACAACTTCGCGCCCTTCGCGGAATAAATGCCTTTCTTGCACCCAGGTTGCGGCGATTAGCGATTAGTGACACATTAGTGCCGAGACGATGCGAACCATCCACAAACGTTCATGCGAACGCGGTCTTTTATTTCTTTTTTGATTGCTAGCATCGAAGTGATAGTGAACGCAGCAGTTTGCTACGTTCACTATTCATTTTGACCGCTAGTCGATATCGCTCTGTCTCTGTTTGGTGTGTGTAGTTCTACGAGTTCACGTCAGCTGTTCGCAATATGCAATATTCGCATTTCGCAGTTTATTTTAAAATAGTTAGCAGATTGCGATTGCTACTTTTCATTCGCAGTGAATTTTTAGCAGTTCGCGATTTTCTGCTCATCTCTACCACGCACAATGTTAGTGGGATCGCGCACTCCACTCTCGTGCACTAAACCCCGGGAAAAGTCACGGTCGTAGTTCTGTTGACGTGGTGGCTGTATCTGCCTGTCTCTGTTAATGCAGCCGGCCATCATGTGTGCTTCTGCGCACTTGGAGCACTTGCTCCGTTTGTGGCACCCAGTCATCGTATGGCCCCAGGCTTGGCACTTAATGGACTGGGAGACGTCTTTACGGTTTTTCCTTTCCTCCCACTGTACCCTGGAAGCAAAGACTATCTTGGCCGTGGCTTTGATCTTGGCTAGAGTCCAGTCTGCCGTTGTGGTATAGTGGGTTGTCCTGCCCCGTGTTCTTCATTGGATAGACCTCCTTCACCCTCATTGCGTATCTGCCAGATACTCCTTGATCTCGGACGGTGCGTAGTTTCCCCTCCTGTAACGCATTACAAAGGCGTGTGTCTTTTCGGAGGGAACAGTATAGGTGTGGAACTCCGCACCGTCTTGGCTTAAGTTCCTGGTCATACTGTCGTGGTCTGCCATGTTTTTTGCGTACAGTATGACCGAGTTTCTGGCATACTTCACCTCTAGTGGCTCACTGGTGATGTGTGACGCCATCTCGAGAAATTCTTTGTGGTTGGACAGCTTGCCTTCTATCACAATTGGGGGGGGGGAGAGCTTTCTTTTCCCCGTGGCTTTGGATGAAGGAGGTTTGGCCTGGATGGCGTCTGTCACCTTAGTCCTGACCTCCTCTTGTGAGTTATCTAGTTGAGAGGTTTCTGGCTCCAGGTCTTTGGGCTGAAGGACCTGGAACCTATTCTTAGTTTCGATTTGAAATAGTTTGCCAAAGCCCGTCGCCTTGATCAGCGCAGAAGTGGCAGAGTCCTGTTGCGGTGAGGGGGAGCGTGGGGGTGGTCGAGCAAATTCCATGTTATCAGAAACTTTTTTGGCTTTGTGCTCTTCAGGGCTCTCGATCATCGGCCTCTTGGCTTGCGTAGTTTTGGGTTTGGGGATTGGGTGGTGTCGCATTATATATATGGGAAATTATGTTTTCCAGAAAGTGTTTTGACTCTTCATCGGTATGTGCTTCCTGAAATTTTAGGCTTTTCCTGCAATTCCCGCACCAGTCGATATGCAGTCTGGCCTTTATTTTTGAGACGCTTCTTCTAGTGAAGTTGATAGCTGTAGAAGCGTTTGATGAAAAGCTCTGAACATTATCGTTGTCTGAGTCGTCGTTGGCTGCATCGCCGTTCATGTTGGAACCCCCTTCTGGGAGGCCCGGCATTTTGGGGACTCTTCTCACGTGTTCGGGTGGTGCCCTCACTTGTCTTGTTTTAGTAAAGGGAACACACATGCCCTTACTTATTTAGGTTCCCTTACTTTGTTTGGGCTGTAGGCCTGGTTTTTGGCAAGTGCCCCAACTCTGGCAAATTCCCTTACTTTAGGGCGGCGTCCCTATTTTGGCGACGTCCCTATTTTGGCGACGTCCCCTTATGCGTTTTGAGGAGCCTCGACTTTCGGAAGCGTCCCCTCATTTGTCGACGTCCCCTCACTTTCGGTAGTATATCGCCTATAAGTACGTCCCCTGACTTGTTTTGAGACAAATTTTGTTAAGTTGAGATTATGTAAATTTTCCACGTATCCTGACCTGTTTAGGAGATTTGAATAATTGTAATATATTATATAATTGTGACATTTGACTTTTTGTTCTCCTTCATTGAAAAATGAACTCAGATTTGTTATCACTTCAACCATATTATACAGGGTGTATATTTTAAGTGATACCACTATTGCTATATCCGAAACGGTAAGAGCTACAAGGTCGGTTAAATTAGAAAAAAGTTGCCTTTTTTGATGCTTATTCAAGATTTGCTTACAGTGTTGTCAAATTCCTTTTAGTTTATGAAATACAGGGTGATTTCCAAAAAACGTTCAAATTTATTTCATCAATTATTTCGAAAACTATTGATATTCGAGACACCATTTCAATTTGAAAGTTTTATAATTTTTTTCGCTCTACAACATGGCACCTTCAAATTTCAAATTCGACGTTTCGTGATCGAGCTACAATCATCAACTTTATTTTTTTAAATACGGACCTGGATTTTTTATGTCATTTTTAGGAAACGCCCTCTATGCCGTCTTTAATGATATACCTCTTAAGTATGATTGGCCGACGTTTCTGCTCTAAAAAGTGATCATTAGTGATTTTTACCAAAATTTTACCCTAATTCGGCCCTAGTTATGAACCTGTATTTCATTAACTAAAAAGAACTTGGCAACACTGTAAACGAATCCTGAATGGGCATCAAAAAAGGCAACTTTTTTCTAATTCAACCGACCTTGTAGCTCTTAGCGATTCGGATATAGCAATAGTGGTATCACTTAAAATATACATCCTGTATATATTTTATCCCACCTTTAGTTGAACATCTGGACGCCACCATACCACTAGATGAAATTTTCTCATCAGGCAATTTACTGTCACTATAATTGGGACCTGCAAAAATATTACTCTCAGAAGTACCATAAACTAAATTCACATAAGTGTGTGGTAAACATTTTCTAACTGCTAACAGATGTTGAGGATTAATTGTTGAAACGCCAACTAATATTGAGTGAAGTGAAGAGGTGTCAAATTTTTTAAAATAAGTTTCTACAGGAAGGTCGATTAGTCGATAGGTCAATGAGCTTGTAACTCATATATAAGTGACCTAAAAATTAGAACATGTATTATAACTATTATATTATGCGTAGATCCCTCATGGCTCAATCGCATGTCATGAAATCATTTCATTCTTTTTGTTTGTACCGGTAGGTAGAATATTATAACTGGTGGAAAAGATTTTCCAAGGCTCCTATAGGTAGGTACTTGCCAAAATTTTGATGAATAAGTGAATAGATATATTATTAAGTTTAGTTTGGATTATTTTGTTTTATTTATTTTCATTTATTTTAGCTATTTATCTATTCAACATTTATTAGTAGGTATAATATCTCCCGAGTCCTTGACTCTCGTAAAGTACCTAATCAGGGATTTACAATTATTGTCATTATTACAAAATGTCTGTTATCTCTCACGTGCTTGTTGCCTAAGTTTCTTTTTATCTTTGTTAAAATCAACTTTAGATGTTGAAATTTGATCATTCAATCAGCTTTTAGCCAAAATATCATGTGGAAGCATAATCTCAATCAACATCAAAAACAAATTTGATCTTATAAAAAAAGTATTAATTTTCCAATAACGGATCAAAATGTGGTAAATAGATAGGTACCAAAGAAAATATAAGCTATAAATTTTGACTGATTTTCATATTGTTCAGTTTCGTCTACGGGCCCTGTATAGTTGTATGTATTTAGGATGTCAAATCCTATTTGGGAATGGTAATTGATTCGTTTTTTTTTTCTCTATATTTTTGTTTTCTTTTATTCTAATCTAATTGATAAGGCTTTGCTAAATTTGGCTTTTGAAAATGCGCGCGTTAAAAACTGAAAAAGGGTAATACCTGCAAAGTCCTTACACTGCCGACGAGTAAAGTCAGTCGCCAAAAACACTCCGCCCGTTTCGTGTGGTTCGAAAAAATAGACCAGCGGTTTTTCGTTTGCCGCGACCGGTTAAATCAAGAAGGTTTCGTTTGTACTCCTTGGCAGATTAGCAGAGCTGGAAGCGCGCACACTCTTTTAGATGCTCAATGTAGAATCAGGAGAGAAATCCAACTTTCCTATTTTGAGAATCAGAAGACTCCAAAACCTGCTGTTCAAAAAGTTTTGGTCAACAAACCACAATCATCCATTAAATGCTTTTCTTGCGGAAAAATTGGCCACACAGCCAATCAATGTAGACAACAAGCTTCCAGTCGTTCAAACTTCACTCAATACCCAAATCAGAATTTCCAAAAAACGACAACAGCTAACTACTCAGGCACCGCAAACCAACAACCAACAACCAATGTTCCGCAAAATAGAACCCAAAATGCATCTTCTACTTCTAAACAATTCGTACCAAGATACGCTTCAACTACCACTCAAAGAAACCCCAATTTCTACCCTAACCAGCAAAAAACAGTTCACTACTGATCTGAACGCTGAAAATTATCAGGATTTTCTGGTACTTTTTACCAATCACCATCTGCCAGAGAATACCCCTCAAGACACTTCGAATATCAAGACTAAAATACAACTTCTGAATCTACCTCTGGACTTGAACTTTCTGAAAGAGCTGACCAGCTGAGTGGAGTTTGGAAGTAAAGCCAGATAAGGTGAAAAAATCTCCTTTTAAGTTTCGATATCTTTCAATTTCAATTTAAAATCTTTCATCGATTACCATTCTATCAGCAACCTGTGGATTTTCCAGTTTTAATTTCGCACACATTGGATAGATAAAACGAACTAAGGAGAATCCACCGCGTGATCTTTTGTCTCACTTCAAATTGGAGGTGCCTAAAGAAAAGGAAATTTGCCTTCTTCGTCAGTAATGACGTCAGGGGTTCTTCTTAGTTGGTTCTAACTATAATGTCTTCCATGAAGTATAATCTAAAATTTGAATTAATGGAAGAAAATAGCAATTTATATATGGGGAATGATACAAGGTATCTTCAGTTATAGCATTTCACGTCTTCCTTTATTAGAATAATTGTATCATTCAAAGAAAAAGTTAAATGTTGTATGTATTATTATTTTCTATATCATTTTTGAATTTAATAAACAAATCTCTAGCAGTCCTCCTCAAATATTTCCCTGTAGCAGATTTGGGCAAACTTTCCAAAATCATCACGCCCCCTCTCAGCTTATAGGCATCCGAAACTTGCTTGTTAACAAATTCTTCCAATTCCGTCGGAGTAACTTTGGCATTTGCTTTGATCACTACGCAAGCCGCTGCATGGTTCCTGTCCACAAAATGTGGCACTCCGAAAGCTAAAGCTTCTTTAACTGCTGGATGCTGCGCGATAATGTTATCCAATACTGTTGGCGATATTTGATTGGTTTTGTATTTGAACATTTCGCTTATACGATCGGTGACGTAAAGGTAGCCATCTTGGTCGTAGTAGCCAACGTCGCCGGATTTCAGGAAACCGTCTTTATCGTAAATATCTGGTTTTGAGTATTTGTGATAGCCGCTCATGATAAAATTTGATTTAATGTGAATTTCTCCTTCTTGGTTGGGACCAACAGGCTTTTCTGTACCATTTAAATCAATTAGCTGAAAAAATAGGATAATATAAGCCGTATATTTAGTATTTAGATAAAATTGACAAGGCATTATGGTTGATTGGTTTTACTTAAACTTACTTTTATTTGTACATCAGGCAACACTGATCCACTAGAAGATATCTTTTCTCTAACCGCTTTCTGATTAGTAAGATCGTGACATGCGATGTAATTAGCTTCAGAGGAACCATATCCCAAAACGACGTTCGTATATGGAAAATAATTTCTCATCCTGATAATTTGGTTAGGATCCATTGTTGAACCACCAATTCCTATTGCGTACAAGGAAGAAGTGTCGTATTTTTTGATAACTTCTTCAGGTAGACTAGTCAGCTGGTATGTGTAGGTATTCGAAGTAAACATATGAGTTACCTGAAATATTTTAAATATAACTTGGTTAATAAATCATTATTGTACCTTATATTTATCAACAAGTTGCAAAAATCGTTCCGCCTTAACATCAGGCGCTATGACTTTTGCGGTACCGGTTACAATACAAACTCCTGACATAAGCCATGCTGATATCCAATACAGTGACGCAAAATGTACGATAACACCAACTTTTATACTGTTTTGCCTGAAATAAGTCTAGGTTTACTTCTCTAATATATTTGGAGCTAATTTGAACTACTTACTGAATTAAAGGTCCAGCGATATTCAGCAAGCTCCAGTTTGTAATGTAAATGCCTTTTGGTGCTGACGTGGTGCCACTACTGAAAACAATGGCAGCAATATCGGAGTCTTTTTGTTTCATGGGCTTGAAGTTCTCTTCTCCTTGTGCTTCCATTTCGATTTCTAACATATTTGGGTATTTATATGTTGATCCAATGGTAATGATGTGAGGTTTTTGATTAGTGCTCTTAAGGCTTTGCTCTAACTAGAAATGTATGCATTAATAAATATAAATTTCCAACGCCACTCTTACCAGATCCAATGAATCTTTTTCAACAACCAAAACCTTTGGTTCCAATAACTCCAAACAGTGTTTCACGTCAGATACAGTTTGTTTGGGATCGACTGAACCTACGAGAGCACCTAAATATTGGGCTGCCAAAGCTGGAACGATATTATCCAAATTATTTTTGCAACATAGTAACACTATGTCTTTAGATTTGAGCCCAATTTTTTGAAGGTACAAAGCCACTCTTGTCGATCTTCTTTTAACATCTTTATAGGTTTCTTGTTTGCCAGTATCTCCATCAATCTTAAAATGTGAAATTAAAATTTGTGCAATTCTTGTTTATGTAGTTTATACCTGGAACACATTGTCGGCATTTTTTTCAGCTTGTTCAAAAAAATATTCCCCAAAGCCTTTATCAATTTTTGGGAAAGTGCAAGGAGAACCTTTTAGGATAAATTCGTCCATCTTATTTTATTTCTCAACTCTGAATAGTTGCTAACATTTTTTAACGTTGCGCTTTTGTATTATGCAATTGAACAGAACTGGACTCTCCAGAACTATTTCTTTATCTGAATGTATTAATGGTTTGTAAATTGCATTTGGAGTCGTTGCAGCTTGTTCTAGCTGCTCGAGCACTGCTATCTTTCCAGAAATGTTGTGCTTGACTCTGCTTCTAGTTGGTGTCCAAGATTTGTAGGCTTCTCCCAAAGGAGGCCAGCTTCCTGAATCCTGGATGGGAAAGTGCCCACCTGTTGCGGTGTTAGCCGTATGCCTTCAAGGTATTCCAGAAGTCAGCAGGGCATTTACAGATTAAATGTTCTGTAGTTTCTGTTGCGTGTTCGCAATATCTGCAGTGGTCGTTGTCTGACTTGCCTATTGTTTTTAGGTGATATTTTCCCAGGCAATGACCCAGTGAGCAGACCTATGACTGTTCTAATGCCCATTCTGTTCATGTCAAGAAGTTATTCAGATATCTTTCCTTTTCTGCCTTTCTTGTGAGCATTATACTCAAATGGTTAATTCTGACTCTGAGAAGTTTTTTCGAAATACTGATGTGGATTTTGTTCTTGTGCTTGTGAACATTCAACAGCAATTGTGATATTGAATTTTCTGGATAATTATTTAGGAAAATCCTGTCCTGCATCAGTAACAATAAAAAGTGGAAATAATAATAGACTTAAAAGATAAAACTATATCATCATCATTATGCAATTATTACTATTCTTAATAACATAAATTAAGTTTGCTTAATATATGATAAGTAAAATGCATAATAATTTTAGAATTTGCTTCCGTCAACATGGAAAATCAAGCAAGGACAACAATAATTTCAATAGAGATATTTTTTTCCATAAATTATCTTGTCCCACTTGAACAACCTTGAAAAATAGGAGACCGGGTCAAAGGATCTCTAATTTTCTACCTTTTGATTTTTCAATCAATAATGCTCTTGATCGAAAGGAATTTGGTACAAAAATATTTGCAGACACTAAATCCGCACCCACTCTAGTAATTTCATACATGTTTTCTTAACCAGGTTAGAGCTTATGTTCGATAAAGCTGAGCAAAGAGCCTCCGAACTGGAAAGCAATCTGAGTTTATTGGAAATATGGAAAAAACGCGGAGACGATTTGCTATATTCGATGATTCCGAAAGCTGTCGCAGAAAAGTTAAGGGCCGGTAATAGTCCTTTGGATACTTGTCAGGTAAATATTTGGATAATATTTTATAATTATTGGGTCTCAATAGATATAATGCATATATAGAGAAACACAATCAATAATTACTCTAGTAATGTCACTTTCTGAGAGGGATATAAAATACTATACTACAGAGGATGAAAGTACTCTATTTCCTCCCATTTAACGTTTGTTCTACGTGAAGAGAGGAAATAGCATTCTACTTCTTGTATTGTAATACAAATCAATTTTTTGACTAGGTACTATCTAGTAGAGATTTGTAAATCTTTTTTATTTTCAGACATTCGATGCAGTTTCCGTGATGTTCTGTGAACTAGTAGGATTCAATTCATCCACAGTTGAGGATGCCATGGAACTCGTCAGTACCATGAACGCTGTATTTTCATGTTTCGATTCGCTAATGGATACTTTCAATGTGTATAAGGTACAGATCAGATCAAATTTATTACAAAAAGACTGTAGGAAACTAATTGTTGATGCAATGATTTCGCGTTAACTTTCTTGTGGGTCAAATTCGACCTTGTATAATAGCGGCATGCATTTTGCGTTTCATTTATCGATAGAAGCGCATAGCGCACCTCTCCAGGAATACCTAGCAAAACGGTAGAACAGTACCTACCGACAGTACCATCGATACGACAGATTTGGTCTGGTGCGAACCCTCTCCATTCGGCGGTTTCTTTCACAAAAGTAAAAGTTGAGGTTTTCGTCCATTTTTTGCCGTTGAATTTGATCGACAAGAAAGTTAACGCGAAATCATTGCATCAACACTAATGTTTAAACGAAAACAAGTTGAAGCCTTTGAGATGTTGTTCTCACAAAACGTTGTTCTCAAAAGCTTCAACTTGTCAACTTCATTCAATTTTTTTTTCCAGGTGGAAACTGTGGGTCAAATTTATATGGCAGTGTGTGGCGCCCCAGAACCAACCGATCTGCACGCCCAAAATATTTGTGACGTTGCCCTGTGCATGACGCGTCACGTTAAGCAACTGCAAATTCCTTCGGGAACTAAAGTTGATGTCAGGATTGGTAAGATGATTTTTGAAGAAAATCCATTGATCTAAAACTAGTTTTTTATTATTTGCAATTTGTGAGAATTAAACCTCGCACTACGAGCACTTTCATATCTCGCCTAGAACTAACTAAATTGAGTCAATATTTTGCTCCGCCAAAAACATAATATTGAATTCGCAGTTGGAAATTTAATTAACATTTGTCAATTAGCAAGAAGGAAACCTCCCTCAATTTTCTATTTCTTAAAAAAGTGTTTTAAAAGTAAGCTGATAAAATTTAAAAACAGATTATTTGAAATTTATTTAATTTTCCCAGGTGTCCATTCTGGGGCAGTGGTAGCAGGAGTGGTAGGAATTAAAGTACCCAGATACTGTTTCTTTGGCGATACAGTGAATACAGCTTCCAGAATGCAATCCACTAGTTCGGTAAGGATATTAATATTTACCTAACTATTTCCTTAATTGGCGAGAAAGAAGAAAAATTGATACGTTACGAAATGTAGCAACAGCTTTGATAAAACACAACCTTGACCCAACCATTATCGGCTGGATCAGGTGCATGTTAAAGAACAGAGCTGTTCAACTAAATACAGAAGGCGCGAAGGTAATAGCGCTAGTCAATAGAGGCTGCTCCAAAGGTGGCCTGATGTCGCCACTACACTGGAGTGTAGATGAACCGCGTATGCAGATGACATTACAATTTTGCAAACCGGGAAATACCAAAACGTCCAGTGTGAATCTATGCAAACCACTTTAGAACTGTTAGAAAGATGGTGCTTAGAAACCTTACTAGAGCTGCTTACGGAAACACTGATCTAGGATCAGTTCGATCAGTATCAGCTGTTCAAGGATTAGTAAACTATCTAGGTGGAGCTAGTTCAGTTTCCGAACGGATGGTTCCGCAGATGAATCTTGTCAAATGTTACCTCCCAAAAATCCTTACCTCAACAAACATTATTTTGATTTTCCGATTTTAAGTTTAATCTCCAGTTCTCAAATTTCCATTTTTTTGGCTTCTTGCTGTTGAAGATGTCTGTCACATTTATTCTGAAAGCAAAACAATCAGCATACAACTAAAAAGTTGGCTTAAGAAAAACAGTTGACGGCTACCAATTCTGTTTACCCCACATTTTATCGGGTCGATGAGATCCAAACATATGATACTGAACCGAACAATCCGATCACTTTCCGTACAGTACAAGAGTGAACTAATCCTATATCCCTTTCCGTACGTCGAGATTGGTGATCCTTGTGATCGGGTTAATCCGACCATAGTTTCCGTAAATAGCTTAGCTGTCAACCCAGCAAAAAACGAGCTAGTGCTGTTCACCAGCACACTGGAAGATGGTCAATTTGAGACCACCCTCTCTGTGCGGTGTACAACTCGGCCTCAAAAATATTTGGAAATTATTCTGGATAGAGCCCTCAACTGGAATAAGAACATAGGTGAAAAGACGAAGAAGGTCACGAAGATTTCTGGCAGTGTAGGGGAGCCATACGCAAAAGTTGCCTAGGCTAAGGTTGTCTTGTGGCTTTTCACCACCGTTATTCGACCTATGTTCACGTATGGTGCTATTTATTGTATGGTGGACCAAAACCAAGCCAATAGTAGCTAGAAACAAAATTCAACAGTACGACGGTTAGCATGCCTGGCAATCACAGGGACAAGGATGACTACACCAACAATTACCCTGACAAGGGTTGCTGCGACTGCCGCCTCTTAATACATATTGTAACGGAGTTTGAGTATGCCGCCGCCAGAAGATACAGAATCGGATAGCAGAGTTCCAGATTTTACAGTGCTCTTCGGGAAAAAAGTCTATCGCGTTTATTCTTGATTGTGCAAGAATAGATTACGGATATATAAAGGCCGGTATTAGTTAGTAGTTTTAAGTTTAAGATTGACTGTGATATGATTTAGATGGTGATTATTGTTGAGAGTTGTGAAAAGTTTAGTTGAACTTCGTTGACGAGTTAGAAACTACTACTCCGAGGGCAAATACCCCTACCGGCGTTGAACTACACTGATTGGTCTGAGCTTTCGTTGGCAATGAAAATTGTTAGAAAGATTTTTTCAGGTTATGACCAACGTGAATACAGGGACACAACGATCCCTGTTTGGGAATCGACCCACTGACCAGTGGACCCAGACTTCCCGTGCCAATCCTTGACGCGTTTCGTCCTTGTTAGGACTCATCAGAAGGACATAGGCTGAAGCTCCCTGTCCAAGCAAAAGTGAACTTCGTTGACCAGTCAGAAACAACTACTCCGAGGGCAAATACCCCTACCGGCGTTGAATTACACTGATTGGTCTGAGCTTTCGTTAGCAATGAAAATTGTTAGAAAGATTTTTTCAGATTATGACCAACGTGAATACAGGCACACAACGGTCCCTGTTTGGGAATGGACCCACTGAGCAGTGGACCCAGACTTCCCGTGCCAGTGCTCCGTGCCGTTTCGTCCCTGTTAGGACTCATCAAAAGGACATAGGCTGAAGCTCCCTGTCCAAGCAAAATTGAACTTCGTTGACCAGTCAGAAACAACTTCATTCACGTTGGTCATAACCTTAGAAGAGACTACGGAGAGACGTACTACTTAGGCCACTATGTATTGTGTACAGTCTGTACACTTGGCGTGGCTGAAGACTGAAGCTGGGTTTGAGACAGGTCCAGAAGGGTGTTTCCCAATAAAGATAGTTTGCACTAGGAGGAGAATTAGCTAGAGGTGCTTTTCCCAATTGAGGTACTTTGCACTAGCCTTAGCCTGCGCGGTATTTATACCAAACTAATGCCGACTCGTCGACACATCTTGATAAAATTGATGTACAGAGTGGTATTTACTTAATTAGTTGACAATATTAAGAAAGGTAAGAGTTTTCCTTCACAGCAAATGAAATTACCACAGAAGAAAAAAAAAGAGCAGTTTCACTCAGTTTGCGTGGACCCTCCACGTATGATATCCTTCCACACCAGTTGCGCCAGCCAAGGTAACCGATAAGTCATGTTCTCATAGAAACGTACATAACCAACAAGTGAAGTGTACGGTGCCGGCTAATCGCGATGTGCTCGGGAATGCATACGATTTGTCGGTAAAAGTGTTCACAGATAATGTTACCGGTAAATATATTATTTCCCTACAAATTAACAATAAACTTGTTCGAATGCAAGTGGACTCTGATGCGGCAAACATATTGGTTGGTCAGAACACATTTCAGGACATTTTAAGCGGAAACATGCCAATGGGACTTCCTCTAACAGACTACTAAAAGACTACAGTGTGAAGTGCAAGTAACTATAGAGTATTGGGGACATTTCAGCAGCATTACCACTTGTAGTGGTGAAAGGTAACCGAGCAAGTCTTCTTGAGCGTAACTGGTTTAGTTCTCTAGGAATAACCCTGGCAGAGGTAACTAATATGATATGTACAGTAGATTTTGTAAATGAATTTCCAGAAGTATTCCGCAGTGATATAGGTACCTTCAAGGGACCTCCAGTTTCTATTAATTTGGATAATTGGACAACATCAAGCCTATAGATGTTAAAGCAAGAAAAGTATGACTTTTGCTTTAAAAGACAAAATTGATCGAGAATGAGAAAGATTGGTTTTGCAGGGAGCCCTTGAGCATGTCGCTCATCCCCGCTGGTGTACCCCGATTGTTGTGGTACCAAAAAATAATAAGTTAAGAATCTGTGGCCAATTTTGTAAGGCGCGGGTTCAGTGTAAGTCGGTTTACCTAACGGTTTGTCTCGGGCGCCACCCTCAAGATTAAAGTGGTTGAGGGCCCACGGCCCACGTGCACCAGGTAGCTTGTTACAGTGGAGAAACGGTAATCCAGGGGTCACAGACGCTTCTTCTGTGAAATTTTCTGAAAACATTGGCTTAGGGAAAAGAAATAGACAACATTCGATAAATTTGAATAAATATAACACTCTGTATTACCGGAAAATATTTACAGGAAAACCCCCAATTGATCCTATGAAAGAATGAACGGGGATGCGTGAGAGAGAGAGAGATAATTAAATGAGTGAAAAATTATGTGCGTGCGGTAAAAGCGTGACCATGCGGGCGGTGAAAAGCGTGTCCGAAAAAGTTAACTGTAGCGATAACGGAACGGTCAGCAAACGGTAGCTCTAAAAGTTCCGATAACGTTAACGCTAACGGCAAATGTTAAATAGCAATAAACCGGTAAAACAAATTCCGGTGACCCAAGCGAATGTACGGACACCACCTGAAACTACATAAGCGTCAGTTCTCGAATCGTGCATTTAACGGATAAGAGATACCATATAAGCTTCGAAGAGAAATACCTGCCCTAGGTTCCAGGCGAAAATCTCTCATACAGAACTACCCGTCCAAGGTACCGGGCGAAGTTCTAAGAGCAATAAAAACTACCCCGTCCAAGGTGCCGGGCGAAACCCCTATTGCAGGAAAAGATTTACCCGTCCAAGGTACCGAGCAAAAATCTTAGTGAAGCTTATATAATTGATTTTTACCTTCTAGTTTAATTCCCGACCCTGCAAGAACTGACCCCTACTGTGGTTACGGCGGGTTGGCTTACCTCGGACGGTTCTGGTGGTGTTACTGCTATCATTGCTGTCAGATCGGCTGGCTTTTCGGAGACCAGTTGAAGACCATAAATAAAGTTTTACGTGTAGATGCATATCCAGTACCATGTGTTCAAAATATTTTGGCAGCTTTAGCCAGAGGAAAAGTTTACGCAAAATTAGACATGCAACAAGCATATTTGCAATTAACAGTAGATGCTGAGGCAGCGGAAGCTCAAACAATTATAACACACCGTAGAGCATTCAAATGTAATAGATGACAATTTCGTATTTCTATTGCCCCTCAAATGTTCCAGAGGTTCATTGATTCGCGAGTTACAGGAATACCAGGGCTTTTACCCTACTATGACGATATCTTAATAGTTGGTATGTCAGAAGAGGATTTGGAAAAGAAAATTCGTATTATACTAGAACAGAACGTTTCCGTGAAGATGGGTTTCGTCTAAGAGACAAATGTATTTTCCGAGCTGATCAGCTGATTTTTTTGGGTTTTGAAATCAGTGCAATAGGTATTAGCCGTACTAAAGAGAAAGTTAGCGCAATGATGAATGCTATTTCGCCCACAAATAAACAAGAGCTTCAGCCTTTCTGGATTTGGTAAACTTTTATCATGTATTTTTAAAAGATAAAGCTACAATTGCTGAACCTTTCCATAAATTATTGCATAAAGACATCGTTTTTCAGTGGCGTATGGAACAACAGGACGCATTCGACAAACTTAAAGCTATTTTGACAGAAGAACCAGTTTTAAGGCATTATGATGACAAGAAGCCTTCAATTTTAACATGTGACGCCAGTCCTTACGGCATAGAGTGCATTTCAAGTCACGACAGTAGAGAATACCCAGTGGCATACCATAGTCGTACGTTATCAAGTTCGGAAAGAAATTTTGCCCAGATAGACCGTGAAGCTCTCTCTATGATAAAATAGGTGAAGAAGTTTCACGACTACACTTATGGACGTAAGCTTACTGTGCGCACGGAACACAAGCCTTTATTAGGAATTTTTAGCCGAATTGATTCCATTTTATCAAAGAAAAAATGAAATAACAAGACTGTTTTCTTTGGGGTACAAGAGTAATTATCCATTAAGGGGGGAGCAAAGGAGTATTAGACCTGCTGCACAAGTCATACCCAGTTATTGTCAAAATGGAATTGCACGATCCTATATTTGGTGGCCGAACCTGGATATTCATATCAGAGAAAAAGTGAATACATGTACAGAATGTCAAGAACATCAGAACATCCCCAAAAAGTCACCAACCCACCCATCGGAATGGTCTCGAGCTCCCTGAGCTCGCCTTCATGTAGATTTTGCGGGGCCAGAAACTGGGAACTTTAATCTCATTGTTATAGATCCAGACTCGAAGTGGTTGGAAGTTAGACCCAAAGACCTCTTCATTCTCTACTATAAAAGTCCTCAGAGAGCTTTTTACGACCATGGTAGTGGTAGTGGATTCACGTCAGTGAAATTCAAAGAGTTCTTGCTACTTGCTTACACAGCACATTTCTCCACACAGTCTCACAGGAAAGTCTCCAGCAGAAATATTGATGGGGCACAAGAGTTTTCCAAGGAGGAAGTGTATTTTTCGGGTCTTACACAGCAGGCCAAAGTGGATCCCGTCCATAATTACACAAGCCACAGGCCCATTGAGTTACAGGGTATTCACTCCTAATGGAAACATTATACGTAGACCTACAGATCAGCTTCGCAGGCGCAAAAGTTCAAATTCCAACTACACTCTACCAGAAATTGAAGAAGCAATGGACATAAATCCAGACGAAGAATCGGTACACACCGAAGAACAGAAAATACCAAGTCCGTCAGTTCCAGAGCCCCTAGAAACGCCTGGCAGTAGTCCATGGGTAGTTGAGAGTGCCGCCCCGGTACTTGGCAGATTACAGCGATTATAGTGTTCTCCGGGAGAGGAGTGTTGTGTATCGGATCGTCAACAGTGTCAACACTAGAAATAAACTAAAAAAAAAAGACACGCTCGACAAGAAGGAATGTTCTTCGAGTTGTCATATGTTTTTCCTAGTTGTCATTTGTTTTCCTAGTTATCATCTTTCCTATGGTTATCATATTATGCCGGCATACATACACGTTTTTTCGCGCGGTTTATCGTGGCATGTTCGTGTCGGTTAGCATGGGCGAAAGAACGACGTGGCAAAAACAGCATCATGTTCCATAGACTTGACAAAGTATTCAAATGATTTAGCACGTGATTACTCGTGGCATATCAGTTTCAAAGGAAAAATCGTATGTGTGTAGTAAAAAGTGTCACTTATCATGTTGTTTGAAAGTGCATGTAGCATGTAGTCATGTACCAATTTTCAACGTGATAGTTCGCTACGCGGCGTTTATTTTTTCATACTAGCCGCAAAACCGTGACGTGAAATGGCGTGTGGACTGCACTATCATGTACTACTGAGTACTGACGCCACATTCCAGATGAAAGTACGTCTCAAATCCCTTCCCTTTCTATCATTGCGTGCAGCTCTCCTCACTCTCGTACATGATTTTTCACAGGTTTCGGCAGATAACACGATAAACCGTGCGAAATAACGGGTGTGTATGCCGGCCTATTCTATCATTACGTGCAGCCCTCCTCACTCACACACATGATCTTTTACAAGTTTTTGCAGATGACATGATAAACCGTGCGAAATAACGTGCGTGTATGCTGGCCTAATCAGTTTCAATATATTCATCGTATGAATTCTTGTTCCTTTGGAAAATAAAGAGTTACATAAAATAGTGTTGATCGTGTTGCTGTACTGAGTGTTATTCCTACTAAGCACATAACAGATTGATAAACGACCCAACCTGCAGAGGGTGCAATGAGGACGATGACACGGCAGAACATGTATTGTGCCATTGTCCAGCTCTCGTGAATACAAGAGAGTCTATTATAGGGGACCGGTGGCCATCAATGGCCACAATTAGAGAGTATCCACTCTGCTGTCACACTATTGATCTATATCAATACTGTCGACTGGCTTAACGAGTAATACTCTAACGGAGGATAAAATTGACCCACTAAGGACGCAAGTCCCAAATCTCTATCTATCTACATTACGAAATATAACACACTAAATTTGTTTCAGCCCGGAATGGTTCACTTATCAGACTCAACGAAACAGTTATTACCTAAAGATAAATACATCATTAGGAATAGAGGCAAAGTTAAACTGAAGGTATCGTATTCCAAAGTCTATAAAATTATCTAATCAATTTTCTTTATAGGGCAAAGGAGACGTGGAAACTTACTGGATTTTTGAGGATGATCTAACAGATGCGTTTGATTAAATCTTTATTATGATGAGAAAACATATAGCACTTGTATTTTTCTGTAATTAGTTTATTAAATTTTCAGAAGCTTGATTATAATAAAACAACAAGTTTCCTCAAAAAATGATTATAGATTAAACTCCTTCTGGATTTCCCAACCATGGATAGTTTTTAGGACAAGGTACACAACTGACCATGTATCTAGTTTCACCAGTAAGTTTTTTCAAACTGCAAGTGTCTTTCACGCATCCAGTAGTGATACTCACTGCATCTGTTTTGAATTCGGATACTGGCACGGGATTTTTGAGCCATTGGATAACCTAAAAGTTTGACTTTTACTTTGTGTAACTTTGGGTTAGATGCCGAATACTTACTCTAGATTGAGATACCAAAAACACAGTTTTATCTTCTTGAATTCTGTCCAAGGCATCTGTAAGTCCGGTCCACGATTCGTTTACGCTACTGAATAATTTTTCTTCGATAATAAGCGTCAATGGGGCCCTGTTTTTTATTTTAACTGTTTCCACTTGTTTGACTAACCAATCAGAAATTTCTTGGGAGGTTTGACTGAAAATTATTTTCTATTAAATAGTTTCAATGAAAGCGTAGAAAGCCTGTATGAATCCTTTAGTAAGGGCTACAGCAATATCAATAAAAAAATGCTTACTTGGATCTTGTATTGAAGCAAGCAGCTAAAGTAGCGCACAAATCCCCATCTTCGCTAGTCAAATCCACAATGGGATTGATCCAGAAGCCTGGATGGGATTCTTGAGGACAGTTTGCGCCGACGTCGCAAATCTGAGTGGTGGCATAATCCAAAGTGTATGGAAACAGCCTGTTTCTGGAAGGCCAAGAATTATCATACGAAAATCCTCGAGCCACAAAAGCGTTAATGGAATTGTCGCCGGCCAATTGAAGTTGTGGTGTTAGAGTTCCAGTAATGTATTTTTCGGGAATATTGGCGAATTTTGAAATGATTTTACGTTGGTCACCGAATTCTTGTTCCAAAAGTGGTTGCGCGCCGTCCCTCCAGTAGTCTTGATGAGGGTCGTTTCTACAATAATAATTATAAATATGAAAATAATATTTTAAAATGCAAACTACTCACGTTACTGAATGTACGCCGATTTCGAAACCAATAGAAGCTAAATCATGAACGATTTGGTAGTCACTGTATTCGTGGGGTACGTAAAAAGTTGCCGAAGCAAAGTCACCATCTGGATTTTTTCTAGGCTCGATCAATGGAGACCATCTTGATTGGTAAAGTTCCGGTTTAGCAGCGTCGACAAAAGCTAATACGATAAGCTGTAATTTAAAAAAATATAGCCCTGTAAATTAACTGAAATTTTTCGGAATGAAAATATTCCTCTAGAAGCATCTTCATATTCTGGCGACGACACCCAGTTAATGTTAATATATTTTAATAATATTCTGGGAAGTAGTTTGATGACATTTTCAAACAAATTTATTGAAAGGAATTCTTAACAATCCAATAGTCAGTTGCCTCCACATAAGTTTTGACATTCTGTAACTCTTCGTGGCATGCTGCGAATCAGATTATCGATATATGCCTGTGTTAGGTTCTCCCAGGCTAATCTTATCTCATGACGTAGACGTTGTACCTCCAGTAGAATATGTGACAACTGTTCAATGGGCGATAAGTCTGGTGACATTACGGGCCATGGAAGAATGGTTACATTAGTTTGGTGGAGAAAGTTTCTAGTAACTGCAGCGGTAAGGAGTCTTGTCGAAAATTTGTATCTTGCAGTTGCTGAAGGTAGGGCGATGTAGAAGAGTCTGTCGTAGACGTGGATAAAGCCATCAACTTCAATTTTGCATGGAGCCTGAGACTGCACTTACTAGGAGCGTATGGCTTGGGGTGTCATAGCAGTTGGAAGCAGGTCACCTCTAGTTTTTTTTTGATAGAAACATAAGCACTCATTCCTACATTAATGAAGTTTTACAACCTGTCGCTTTGCCCTACCTTCAGCAGCTGCAAGATCCAATTTTTCAAGAAGACAATGGGAGATCACATACCGCTGCAGTTACTAGAAACTTCCTCCAACAAGCTGATGTAACCCTTCTTCCATGGCCCGCAAGGTCACCAGACTTATCGCCTATTGAGCATGAGTGGGATGTGATATATAGAAGGCTGAGGCAGGTGCCACATCTTCTATTGGATGTACAACGTCTGGGACAACGTACCACAGGCAAATATCGATCATCTGATTAGCAGCATGCAACGAAGAGTAACAGAATGTCAAAACTTACATGAAGGCATAACTCACTGTTGAATTGCTAAAAATTCCTTTAACATATTTCATTTACTGGCTGTTGGAATTTCTATGTCACACAGTATATTTACTGCAACCGAATTCCAAACAAAACTTACTTGTGGCGTATCTTCAAGAGCCAAAGGACTAGTAATCGAAGAACAACGACAATTTTCCTCGATAAGGCAATTGGTGCTATTACAAATATCGGCTGCCCCAAAAACTTGTTGCGAAATGGCTAAGACACCCAGAAAAACTGATGTCAACCTCATTTTGAGTTGTAACCGAAAACCTTCGAACTGGATTTAAATTTGGCAGCGTTCTCCTTTATAATCTTGAATTTTAGCAAAAAAAGTCAACTTGATTGATTGCTGATGTTTCGGAGATAACTTTACAAGCTGGCTTTGAGATAAGTTCTATAATCCAAGTTATTTTATAAGTTTTCCTTGTTGACTTATTATATCCTGTATGTACCTACAGCAAGATTCGAAATAAGCTTATCAAAGGATATCGCATGTGAAATTGAAAATAAGAGATTATTTGAGATTAACTTTTGGCCGGACCGATATTGTATGTGGATTATTTTCAAAAATCACTTAATTGATAATAGATAGGTACCTACCTACCTACTGTTCAGGTTTAAATTGATTGATTGGCAGATAAAAATATACCATGACTCGAGTGATGATGAAATTATTTATAGCAAAAAAAAAAAGAGAATATATTCTCAAACAATAATTCATTTTCAAAGGTTCCTAATACCGATGTGGAAATTTTGGGTTAATTTTCTTCGCTTTTTCATCCACAGATGCGTTTAGATCTATCAGATCTCATCAGTGTGGCTAGGAAAGCAAAGAAACCCAACTCGAGTTTAGTTCCTGTAAGCAAAAACAAATTTGCTCTTCGTACTGTTCTAATAACGTTCATTATTAATCTTGAATATTTGCACTATTTTTCTACACTCTGTCTACATTTTTGCACAAAGTGAAAAATTAAGTTTAATACATTCATCGCCACATAGTACCCCATTACACCCTATACAGGGTGAGTACGAAACGCGCACTTGCCGCTTCTCGAGCGTGATAGGACATTTCCTTGCGAGTGCGCATATCCGTAAAAAAAAAAAAAGTGCGCATTTTGTTATGGTAGATAGAATACAGTGGGACAATCACTTTTTGCATAGGCACAATTTTATTCAAATTTCCAGAGAGTGTTTGCAATATTCTCAAGCATCTTTTTAAAAAATAAGTTTGAGTTCTACTTTTCCGTGTCGAGGGATGGGTGGCAACTGGGCCCTTACCAACCAGCTAGGACAGCTGCCTCTAGGAAACCGGGCGACATCCTGGAGTATCTAGCCTTACCACTGCACGCGGAGCTCTGTAGTGGCGGACCCTGTACTTCCATTGCTATTCGTGGGATCTACTATGAGTAAAGACAATAAAAACAAAAACAAAGATATTCCTGAAGAAGAAACAATGGAGGTGGAAAATCCGACTTTGGCACCAGAGGCCGGCGAGACACCTTCAACTATCCCTCCCACATCATACCAGGAACAGGAATTGTTGCGGTCTGATGACGGAGACAGTAAGCACCGAAACAAAAAGAAAAAGACTTAAGACTATCAGGGGCTCAAAGAAGGAACCTGAGCTCCGAAAGAGGTAGGTAATCGGAAATCAGGCGACTAAAATCCAGCAGCCAGAGGGGGATAAATGCAACTCTGGAACTGCAGGAAAACGCCTGCGATCTGACACCAGCACCCCAGAACAGGCAAGCAAAAGTGCCAGGGCTGGTGCTCCAAGCTTCAAGGCCAAGCTGGGGCGACTAGGGTGGGACTAATCCCCCCTGATTACCCAGCGCAGTCTTCACCAGCGAACAGCTGACTAGCCTGCAACTGGCTGTCCTAGAGGCGGCCCAGAACATTCCGGACAGCGGTCCGCAGGTGCGATTCTAGGGCTGCATCCTGTGAGGGCTGCACTCATCACCCAGGATAATTGAAAATAACCTGTGCCGACGAAAGCAGTCTGGTCTGGCTGAAGGGCGCGACAAAGCACCTCAAGCTCTGGGAAGGGGCAGAAACAGGGACGTAGCAACAGGGCGTCCAAGTGGTTCCACGCACAAGGGCCTGGTCCTGCCGCTTTCTGGACGCAAAATAAAAAAAAAATAAAAAAAATTAATCATATTACGCCCGCTCAAGAAATCATTCTTCGCTCTGGCGATTTTTGACCGAAACAGAACTCCGAGTCCCAGTGTTCATGCCAATACTTGTAAATCTCAATGGTGGAAGTATGAGTCATGAGTGGATCGTGAATCCTCTATGGGATTTTGTTTCGGCCTAGGCTGAAAAAGACATAAGTACTTTCTTAAGTGATACGCGTCTGGAAATTATGTAGGTACTTTCAGAACCGTTGCCGAAAAACCTTATTTTGGGTATTCTTTGTTAACCCTCAAAAATTTCTCGCCTACGAATTTGTCTTGCGCCATTTTGTCCATAACATCACTCAATGAATTTATTTATTCATTTATTGATGCAACTTACAAACACCAAGTATGGTACTTACCTACATGCAGTGGCGGCTCGTGACTATTTCAAGTGAGGAGGCTATGGTCGCTGAACCCTGAACCCCAGTAGTGGTTCGATATGTTTCCGGCATTTCTATTGGACGCTCAGATCCGCGGTCCATTTAAATGCTAGATTTCAGTGAAGCATGTGAGAGTCTACCCTTCAGTCGACCTCTAATGTCAGAATAATAGGGAAATTGCACATTTTTTTTTAAATTCAAAAATGTGTTCTACTTCACTAAAGACATAGTCATGCCAAATATCAGGCATTTAAAATCAGCCGTTAATTTTTTATAAATATTTGAAGTTACGCTCGAAACATCGCCATTTGAAACGACCGATCAGTGTGACGTCACTCGGCAACAAAATTCCGATCACAGTGACGAGCACTTCGAACTTCAAGCAGGTAGATTAAGATTATGGTTATGTTGTTATGTGTGCAGTTTTTGATAGATTGGACATTGGCGACACCAGCAGAACATGACGTGGCAGCGGCACGACCCGATTATTACTGCCTTGTGACGTCACGACCCATACAAATACGTTTTTGATCGCGTCATGAATTTCGAATTATTTGGTATTTTCAATTGAAGATTTTGGACACCAGAGATAAGATATTAAATTTTTATCCCAATAAAATCATTTATTAGGATGATTGTTATTCTGTTTTGTTATTTATTCCATATTTAATTTGATGTGCAAGTTCCCTATTGCAGAACAGGGATTCTGACAAAGTGGCCTCATTTTGGGTACCCACATTTTTTCTCTGGTCAATCGGTTGAGAAATAGCGGAGGTATAAGCTAAAATGTACCGTCGTGTTAGATCGCCGAAATTTTTATATTCCCGATTTTTGATTGGCTCCAAATTATCCGCTGACCAATAGAATTATAGATTGGGCTCCGTGATTAAAATACCTTTAGCCCTTCGGGCTCGCATATAACTCCGGCCCTTCGGGCTCGCGTATAACTCCGGCCAAGGGCCGGAGTTATACGCGAGCCTAAAGTAGTATTACTAAGTATCAAAGTATCCCAGATTCACAAATTGTTGTCGTAGAGGCGCGGGATTGATTGAAATAATGTTGTCGGATTTTTCTAAATTACATTAAAATATCGAAATTTGGAAAAAATAATTTGTGAATTATTATTTTAACTAGGAATCAGGAATAAAAAACTGAGATTGAATTTTCAATTTTTTAGAGGAGTCTTAGCCTCCCCTGCTTCCTCTAACGAGCCGCCACTGCCTACATGTCATGTAACAGGGAACTGACTTAAAGACTAAGAACTAGAACTAGGAACTAGGAACATAGGAATCGCATGAATCAAGAATCGTGATACTGCATTGCTATAGGCAATATAATATATAATTTAAAGAGTGTTAATTTTAGTGGCATGCAGACGCATAAATTAAAAGTTGATGAAAAATTTTCTTGTCTCGACTGGGATTTGAACCCAGGACCCCTACATTTCCAGTGTAATGCTCTACCAACTGAGCCACCGAGACCTGTCTCATTTCTACCCAGTCGATCAAGTCTTTCATCAATTTTTAAGTTGTTAGTTTGTGACCATCGGCAACCTTCGGCGGTTACCGTTGGTGGGAGTGAGTTAGGAGGTATGGGAAACACATTCGCAATTAATGGTTGTTTTTGGAATCCATTATCCCTTCAACCAGATGTGTCGTCGACATATAGCGACATCGGCAGGCATCGGAATCGGACGCCCAACCATCAATATCAGGGTAGAAATGAGACAGGTCTCGGTGGCTCAGTTGGTAGAGCATTACACTGGAAATGTAGGGGTCCTGGGTTCAAATCCCAGTCGAGACAAGAAAATTTTTCATCAACTTTTAATTTATGCGTCTGCATGCCACTAAAATTAACACTCTTTAAATTATATAACAGACGATAAAAACTCTAAAAAAAAAAAATTGTAATAATATATACTTTTCGAATGTTTGTAGATTATTATTGAATATGTCTATATGTATTACTCCTATCCAGAAACTTATTGCACATAGCCAGCATACGATTATAGGAGAAGGATTATCTTTATGCATACAGGGTGATTCAAAAGTATGCGGCATCTTTTCGGAAGCGTATTCCTTGCACAAAAATAAGACAAAAAGTTCCTATTAACATGGGTCCGGAAATGCTTCCTGAGGGAACTACGCCCCTTCCAATAGGGCACCTGAAAGAAGTGTCTCTGTATAACTTTGAAACCCTTCACAAATGGATTTTGAAAATTCGTGTATTTTAAAAACATTCGATGGCAATTAAGATACTAAATTGAAAATTCAAAAAAACTTAATCAGTGGCGTCACATATTGGGGAGGGTGAGGGTGAAAACATCCCTATTTTTTTACTAGTCAGATTTTTGCGAAACATACACAAATCAGAAAATTTTCAAAGACGATTTTCTTGTAAACGGTATGCTGTATCGAATTGAACCAAGAGTACCTTTTCTGTGTAAAAAACTCTAAACTTCCTGAATTTTCAATCAGAATTGCAAAAACCTGACGTGTGAAGAAATAGGAATGTTTTAACCCTCACCCTCCGCAGTATGTGACGCCACTGATTAAGATTTTTGAATTTTCAATTGAGTATCTTAATTGCCATCAAATGTTTATAAAATACACCAATTTTTAAAATCTATTTGTGAAGGGTTTCAAAGTTATAGAGAAAAATACGTCTTTCAGGTGTCCTATTCGAAGGGGCGTAGCTCCCTTAGGAAGCATTTCCGGACCCATGTTAATAAGAACTTTTTGTCTTATTTTTATGCAAGGAATACGCCCCCGGAAGGATGCCGCTTACTTTTGAATCACCCTGTATATAGAATAAT